CTGGAACACACAACAACACAAAGTCATGACTGAATGAGACTGAAGCATATGTCGTTTTTACAACCAAATAAAAGCACTGAAATGAGATGGAAGAGACGGTGCAAAGAAAAAACAGAGGTCCCACAAACCTCCCCATGTTAGCTGGGAGGGAATTTGTGGACTATCATAAGGATTAGTCCGATGAGGTTCATTTGGTCTTCCGATAATTTATGTTATTAGGTTCTTTTTTCAGACCAAGAGTTTGTTTTCATACCTGACAGTTTCGACTGCTCACTAGCGTCTTCCTCAGAGTCACGTGATGTTGCTGTGACGTGTCTGTTCAGCTGATTTAAACAGGTTTTGGCGCTGTCTTCCTACCAGTGGAGGCAGGACGACAGCGCCATCTGCAGTCCCACTTCCTCAGGACAATATCCCAGGTGTGTGAGAGTAAAAAAGCCCCTCGTCCCGATTTATCGTCCTGTAGGCACCTTTCCATGTTTCGATTGCCTCTTTAATCCAGCAGCGATGTTTGTTTTCCTCTGTCCCAACGATGTTTGCTCCATCCCAGTCCAGAATGTGGTTCTTTCTTTTACAGTGGTCAGAAATGGCCGATTTGAGTTGTTCTTGTTCTGCTTTTTGTTTTGTTGCTCATGTGCACGCCTTTGCTGTTTCCTTCTCGCATTCTGTTCTGGTTCTATTTTATCTTTTGGGTGGATGAGTAATTACCTGAAGAAGTGGGACTGCAGATGGCGCTGTCGTCCTGCCTCCACCGGTAGGAAAACAGCGCCAAAACCTGTATAAATCAGCTGACCAGACACATCACAGCAACATCACGTGATCACTCTGAGGAAGACGCTAGTGAGCAGTCGAAACTGTCAGGTATGAAAACAAACTCTTGGTCTGAAAAAAGAACCTAATAACATGTATCATAAGGATTGTGCACTTCTGGAAAAGATTAGATTTTTGGCAGGGTGTTAGATTTGGGCCTAAAGTTTTTAAAAATCCATGGATACAAGTTGGGATCGCCCCCTAGTGGCTGGTACATAAAATCCAAACTCGCCCCCTGCAAAAAAAGAAAAGGTTTCCAGGCTTTCTTTGTCTTAAATTGACTTTATAAAAGGAATGTGATTTCAATAATATCTTCCTATTTATTTTCATGTCACATTTATTATGTGGTTCTCCTCCTACGACCTGCATCCCCATGTGCACAACACATTCTGGGTCTGGACCACAACACAATTTTTTTTCTCTACAAGGTCCTGGTGTATGAGGTCATTATACTGCCACTTTAAAAAAATCTATTAAATTTCATGGCTAATTCTTGTTCAGATGCATATGCACGTGTTCAATGTCTACTATGGAAGTCAGTAACACTAACAATGTAGATAATGTAATGTAAATATGCAGGAGTTAGTTTAGTTGAAAATGTTCATGTTAGCAAAAATGTAAGAATGAAATTGTATTTTGGCATGGTTTTAGTAGAAAATAAGTGTTTATTATAGTACAGACAGATGAAGCATGTCCATTAAACAAATATACATAGATTTGTAAGTATTTATTTTTTCTCATGATGTGTTTTTCCAGAGAGCTTATCCCTGTCACAAGAAGTGTTGGGGAGTAACAGATTACATGTACCAGAGTTACGTAATCAGAGTACAAATTATGAGTAACTGTATTCAGTTACAGTTACTGTTTCAGTGAGTGGTAATTGGATTACAGTTATTTTGTTGAAGTAAATGGATTACACGACAGTATTTTCCTGTTTTCACATTTCGGGCTATATCCCTTTTTTTTTTTTTTTTTTTTTCTTTTTTTTCTCCCGATAATTCCACTCATTGCTGGACACTAAACCAGGTCCAAATAAGGTCTAAACCAAGACTAAACCAGGACTAAAACCAGGTTTAAACTAGGTCCAAACCAGGTCTAAATCAGGATTTAACAGGACTAAATCATGCTGCATGGGCTGAGTCTCCTCCTCTTCTATCAATAATACTTTTAATTTGGTTAAGTAAAGACTGGGTTTTTTATTTTCTTTAAGCAGACAAAACATCTTATGTGAAGATATCCGAGTCTTTGCTTCTCTACAGCAAATCAAGTAATCCACAGTATTCAGATTACGTTACTCACTTTAAGTAATTTAATGGATCATGTTACAAACTACATTTTGGGGTATGTAATCTGTAATCTGTAGGAGAATACATTTTAAAAGTCACCTTCCCAACACTGCTCACAAGCAATGGAGTTACTTTAGTCATTTGATGGAAAAAAGTCTGAGGTGGAAAACTGATCAGACATCGATGATGCTGTGAGGATCCTGAATATCATCCCTCAATGTTCAGTCTGCAGGCAATGCACAAACGGTGGTGGTATTTATTTATTAACCTTTTTAATAATTTATTCTTTTAACTCTAATGTTTGGTGTATTTGTTTTGGAAATAAAGCAAATCGCACTGACAAATTCTGAATTTCTGCTCATTCCAGGCAGGGTGGGGCACCACAAAGCATTTGTGCTCAGGGCATCCAAATGCCAAATGAGTATTTCTGAAGAGTTTTTGACACAATTCTTTTGCTCTCCTTTCCAAACTTGTTCCGAAATCTGCAGAATTTAGACTTGTTTACAATGTGCACACTGAATAGGGTTTCTCTAAAATGTAAAACACAAATCTAGTGACAATCAAACTGTGGTAAAAAATTAATAAAATAAATAAATAATATAATAATAATAATAATAATAATAATAATAATAATAATAATAATAATAATAATAATAATAATAATAATAAATAATAAATAAATAAATAAAATAAAATAAAAATAAATAAATAAATAAATAAATAAAAAAATAAAAACATGTTTTTAAGATCTTTGATGCTGGTTCCAGAACTTGCAAACAACACATACAAAGATCTAAATTCAAACAGAACCACTTATAAAGCACCAACAAACTGTTTATCCGCCTTTTTACATTATAAGCGACAGGCTCCTCTCTGCATGTAGCCCTGAATCTCTCCAGTTGAACCTTGGTTTTACATTTTGCATAAACTTCAAGTATTTGTTACTGTCCCACACGCCCAGGGCATTTCCATTCAAGGTCATGCCCAGGATGTGTGCACATTCTGGGCATGTGTCAGAGGAACCACAGTCCTGGAGCTCACAGCACAGACATGATCACCCCAAGTTCAGCTGTGATTGTAACACTTAAAAAATAATAGTAATAAAAGGTGCACTATGTAACTTCTAAGGTAGAGGGTCTGCTACTTTCTTGTCTCCATGGAGATGTTATTTCTTAGCCTGGAATTTTCCACAGTAGTGCATTAAACATATACCCCTTTGTTCAATTACAGGTGTTTCATTGCTCAAAAATACCTTAAAAAACATAAATTCTTACCATGTGCAGGCTTGCTTCTCCATAGATCTGACCAAGATGGACCCTCCACCAGAACAGTGACACAGTGCACCTTTAAATACCCCCCAAAAAGAATTACAAATCAAGGTACCAATGTTTTAAAAAGTGATCATATTTCAAGTTAATCAGATTTGAGTGAAGGGATCAAATAAACCTAAATCAACACTAAACATGACACAGAAGTAAACAACACAACACAACATACAAAAAAATAAAATACATGGACAAGTGTTTAATGTGCACAATGCCATTCACTGCTATTAGGAGAATCAATATTTAATTAAAACCATGCCAACATAATGAATCACAGTGTATGTTTCAGATGAAGGGCAGACTGTTAACACCCACATCCATCAGCTTCATCTGGGCAAATATTTAAAGAAGAAATGATCTGTAAATGAGTTTATATCAGTAGTATAACGCCGCTACTTCATTATAATGTTTGCTCAGAGTAGTATTACAATCAGCTTTCACTTTCTCTGTGATTGTCGGATTAGCCAATTAGGGACATGCATGCATACAAAGAAAAAGACAGGTAAAAAACAATATGACGTGACTGAAAATCAAGTCTGTTCAAGGGCCCATATTACTCTATTTTCTGAAGCACATCACAAGTTGGAACAGAGTCTGGTCTTTGTTACAATGTTCTTTTCTTATCAAAAACAAAAACTGCACCGATCCGTGAGATTGACAGGTGGATCGGTGCAGCGTCTGCAGTGATGCGGTCGCTGTATCGGAGCGTTGTGGTGAAGAAGGAGCTGAGTCCAAAGGCGACGCTTTCAATTTATGGGTCAGTCTTCGTTCCTCCCCTCACCTCTGGTCATGAGCTCTGGGTAATGACCAAAAGGACCAGATCGCCGATACAAGTGGCTGAAATGAGTTTCCTCTGCAGGGTGGCTGGGCGCTCCCTTAGAGATAGGGTGAGGAGCTCAGTCACATGGGAGGAGCTCGGAGTAGAGCCGCTGCTCCTCCATGCTGAGAGGAGCAGCTGAGGTGGCTCAGATATCTGTTCCGGATGCCTCCTGGGCGTCTCCCTCAGGAGGTGTTCTGGGCATGTCCCACAGAGAGGAGACCCCGGGGAAGACCCAGGACACACTGTAGGGACTATGTCTCTCGGCTGGTCTGGGAACACCTCGGGGTCCCCCTGGTGGAGCTGGAGGAAGTGTGTGAGTCCCTGCTTAGACTCACACACTTCCTGCTTAGTCTGCGAGTCCCTTCTTAGACTACTGCCTCCGCAACCCGGCCCCGGATAAAGCAGAAGAAAATGGATGGATGAGTTTGTGTGTTAAGTTGCTGAGTTCTTCTCTCAAATGAAAAACACTCTGTTCCAACTTGTGATGTGCTTCACAGTGTTTTTAACCTCCACACACTTTTACGAGAATCATTTGAATAATTTCAGACCTGGAATTGCAAATCTCACAAGGTGGAACAGAGCATTTTGAGCTTTGGAGATGTAAACAGTTTAATAATAAAGTGTTACTTAAACATGCCTGAATGAAACAAAACATAACTCCAGATCTGATTTTGAGGGGGTAACAACATTCTAACACTTCTTCAGGCTCCTACGAGTCAATTTTGCATCATATAGGACCTTTAATTTGATGTGGGACAAGTT